TAAAACTGGTTCATGACATTTACTTTCTCAGTTCAGTTCTCTTTTCTCTTCCTTTTTCTTTGTTTAGAAATTATACTCCTCTTCCTTCACTGTAGACAATAAATAACTGGAATCTAATAGAAAGGCAATAGACTGATAGTAAGAATACGGGAATAAAACACAAACTGCACTCTAGCTGCCTTAAACATGCAGCATCAGCGTAGTTTATCAGTGCAATGACCTATATGTACTGTAAGTGTATTCATGGTGCATTGACCTGTGTCAGCAATGACATATAGTAAACCAGTGTCTAAATGTATTCTCCCACAATCCCCAGCACATACAGAGGCCATTAAGAATAAGAATTAAGAACAGCACTCACTCTTCTATTCATTAACACATGCATACAAGTGCAGGCATGTGATACATTTACAAATTATTATATAAGATAATATAATTTTTGTTTTTACTTTTATGTGTGTTCATTTGTCAAATTATTTATTTATTATATATATATATAAATTTAATAATTATTATTAATTATTGAAATTTGTCTGTACCAAATCTGTTCATTAAAAGTCTTTAAATGTAGTTCAATCAATGGCGCCATATAATACCCCTCTACAGAACTGCTGAGGCCTACAACTCACATAAATATCTTCAGGGACTATGCACAAATTAACATTAACCTAATCATAATCAGAAACACTGTACACAGGTGGGCATATTTGTCACTTCGGGTAATTAGATACTAATACCTGTATGCAAGTGTTCAAAGCAACACAAGAAAGAAGCAGTCCAAACGTGTTAAATCATATTTGTGTCAAAACCAACTGGTTGACATCTGCAGTATATTGTAAGTGGATATAACAGATCTGTAGCAGTGTTGGCAACGATGATTTATCTACTGTCAAAGATAAATCCTTTTTCATGAAGCATAGTATGTCAAACAAAAGACTGAGACTAAAGTCTTGACACCACACATGTTTTTCTTTGAAACTACTTTTGTATTCACTAGCAGTAAGCCTTTTTCGCTGCAGAGATTTTGACTTTTCATGGTGGTAAAAGCACAGGTGTTACTAATAACATTAATGATGGCTCTGTTCTATTCAAGCATCCCAGTAAGTCATGACAGTGTGACAGCATTAACAATACCAGGATCCTGAAACTGAAGCAGCTAGATGGAATTAAACCATCATCAGTTTTATTGTTTACATCTTTTCCTGCTGTCACATGTCCAAATGTCTGCTGTTAAAGAGGCCAATTGAACAAAGTCTTTCTAACATACCACGGAGTCTTTGTTTCAACCTTCATCTATCCAGGGAAGTCCAGTTAGGCACATTTTTTATTTTCAAGCAAAGCCCTGCTCAACATTCAAACTGCTAAACACACTCACAACTGGGAATTCGCCAGTAAAAACCACAGTCTTTGCTGCTGGCCACAGGAGCAGTTGGGGGTTGTTTTGCTAAAGGGCACCTTGAACTGATGCTTTTCAGGGGCGCCAAGCTGAATATGATTTTTTTTCATTACTTGCCTCAACCAACTGACCCTAAAGCCAGTTTTTAAAGTGTGTAAATGTAAATTTGTTTGTGTGTGTGTGCTTAAACTGCTGGCAACAAGCATGGACGCAACATTTAATCTCCATGCACCATAAATATGGGAATTATCCTGAGAATCAATAGTGTGGAACTAACGGTACACATAGAGAATGGGAGAGAGAAAGGGAAATGGGAGAAAACGATAGAGGGTGAGAGAGGAAAGTGTGAAAGACTGAGAGAGTAAGACATGCAGAAAAAGAGAGTGTAGTCCCAGCACTCTCTGGCATGCATAGATATTATTCATTGAAAAGACATGAATACACTCTCAAGTGCAATGCTCTGAGCCACCTGAGAGTACACACACACACACAAACAAACACACACTTATGAGCACACACACACACACACACACACACACACACACACACACACACACACACACACACAGGACTACTATAAGCAAACACAAATCATGTACAAGCACATACACACAGAAAAATCTCTTAGCTACACGAAAACACTGTTGGAACATGTACACACATAAAAATCAGGCACACACACAAACACACAACACATTCAGGCACTTGAGTATACTTATAGATACACACACACACACACACAAGGATATGCAATAAGGGGAGAAGAAAACTGAGAGGAGGAGCAGAGTTGAAAAGAATATGAAATATGGAAGAGAAACAGCCCATGAGAGTTATGAGAGGATTACCGAGGAGTGTTGAGAAGAGTAGAGGAGGAGAAAAGGACGGAAAATAACTAACAGGGTGAACACTAAGGAGATGGACAGAAGGAGAGAAAGAGGAAGAGGATGACAAACGAAGGAAGATGACTAAATGGCAAGAGGGGTAAAAAAAAAAAAAAGAATAGAGAAATGCACGGAATAAAAATTACTGAGAAGAATTCATCCATCCATCCATTCAAGGAAGGGTAGAATAAAGGAGAGGAAGAAAAAGTAATGGGTAGAGGGGGGACGGGTAGTCACAGATAACACACAGCACACAATGAAAGTGACAGCTTTGCTCCGAGCCTGACTCTCGCTGACTGTTGTTTCATTATAATCTCATAACTGTCAAATCCTGGAGCAAGCGAGAGAGAGAGAGAGAGAGAGAGAGAGAGAGAGAGAGAGAGAGAGAGAGAGAGAGACAGTGTAACACTTTCAAAGTGAGAGAGAAACAGCGAGAAAATTGGAAATGAATCCACGTCTGGTTCAACCGAGCACGTTGGAAGAGGTAGAGGCTGAGACACAGGTTGACACACAAATAAATACATATAGTTTATGATACACACACACACACACACACACACACGCTAGGTTTGCCTAATTTCACTCATTCACTCAGTCACTGCTCCCCTTAATAAATCTCAACTTCACGCATTCGCCCAATCTTCAATTTACTTGTTTGTTCACTCTCTAAAGTTTTAAACTAATTTACTCAATCAGTCGCTACTTCCTTCAGTCACTCTTTCACTTGCTAATTCACCCATTCACTCACTCATGTGTTCACTCAGTCTTTTAATCACTCCCCCGTACCTCATATTCACTTTGTACTGTTTCAGCTCATTTTAAACACACTTGTTCATTTATTACCCACTCCTTCGATCAGTCTCTCTCACTAACTCACTCACTCAAACACAGTTTACTCATTCAGTCACAACATTGATCCCTCTGTCACTCTCTCAATTGTCTGCTCACTCACTCACTCATTTGGTCACTGACTTGCTTCACTTGCACAATGAATACCTCACTCACTCCCTCACTCAGTCGTTCAAAATGAATATGTAAGCCTGCATCGTCACCAGTGAGGCTGGTATAAAAGCAGAGGAAATAGGGTAGCAGGTCACACACAGTCCCAAGCCAGTGCTCCTCCATTAAAGCTTTGTGACAGAATACACACACAGCACCAACCCTCAAAGCAACAATGCTGCCCTCGTTTTTCTCCTTATTTGTTTTCTATGGCTTTGATCATTGACAGCAAAGAAGCCTGTAAAGCTTTTAGTAAGCCTTTATCTTAAAGCCAAAGCCTAAAAATGTAAACAACTAAACCCAAAAGAAAAAAATGCATCTAAAAAGCCAAGATACTATTTCTCAAATGGATATCCATTGAATGGCAATATAATACATAATTATATTCTTGTATTTTAAGCCTCAAAAAGCTTAAAATATAAATTCAATACAGCATAAAGTCAAAAAACACTTTTAAACATTATTTCACTGTGCATGAAATTATCAACATAATTAAGCATGTCAATTAAAAACTGTCAAACTGTGTTTCTTTCCATACTAACAGCACGTGAGATTACACTTCACTCTCTGTCTTATTTCATCTAGAAAATATCACATTAACACAGGTGCTTCATTTTTTTAAATCTTTTTTCTGCCCTTGGTGTATGTTTTTATCAAATAGCATTATCTTATAATTGTGTGTGGGAGGGGCCAGATGTTTGGCATGACACAGATATAAAAATGAAACTAACTTACTTACTAACATTAAGAAAGTATTGATACCATTTCACTGGATATCTAACATCCAAGTGACAGCAATTGGCTCTACTAAATAGATCTTCTTTCATTTTACACAATCACTATGGTAACTTGGACTTAACCCAGATCACCTGTCAATCAAACAGTGAGGGGCGTTATGTAATATTGATACAGCTCCTTTTCCACCAGCAAAATTGTCATTGCCATGCCTGTGATTAAATACCTGCTTTACACTAGTTGCTTGCATGTCTCATCAACTGGTAACATGCTGACTGATATGAAAATGTGAAATGAAAAAGCAAGTAATTACTGCCCTCACAATGATAGAAGTGTCTTCAAATACTTATTAAGTGTTCCTTCTACCTTCCGTGAAATGTACCGTCACATTTTCTCACACAAAAGCCACACTAAGCATCACACATGGTGTTTTTCTCATCATCATTTTCTCACTTCTTTCACGCTTTGAAACAAAGCTGATCAGTCTCTTATTCACCTTACATGCTTCCAGGTAAGTCTAACTTGAGTGACAGCTCTGTCACTGTCTATATTTCTCTCACAAACACATGTACACACAATTTCTCCCAAGAGCCTTCTCCTTAAGGAACTCAGGTACATGTAACAGATGCCTGAGACACAGCTAACAAATCTAATTTTCTCACTCTGCATCTCATGTTTCGAGAAGCCTAGTTCATTCCTCATTTTTTCAAGCACACGGGTCAAGTGAAAGAGACAAAAAGGAAGAATGGCCAAAGCTCAACCAAATGTAATCCAGTCTTATCTCACTCACTCTCAAACCTGTAGAGTCCTTATCTTCACAGTATTTGTTACAGTGCTACAAGGGAATCTAAACTGACTAAACTCTTTTCTCTCTCTCTCTCACACACACACACACACACACACACACACACACACACACACACACACACACACACACACACCATCACTGCCATCCTTTCCTCCCATTTTTTCCCTTCACGGTCTCTTACCTGTTACTGTGATCAGCATGGGAGCCACCAGAGGCCTGTTGTTATCCAGTTTTCGGCTCAGTCGGATCTCTCCACTGGTGTGATTCAGGAGCAGCAGGTGAAGCTCGTTCCCTCTGTCGATGGTGTAGTACAGCCTGTCTGACACATCGGGATCATGGGCAGGAACTCTCCCAATTACCCCGCTGGGGAAACTGTTGGAGCGATTGGACACAAAGTTGTTGAAAATGATTTGGAAGTCTTGCAGAGTGGGCGGGTTGTCGTTCTGGTCCACCAAACGGATCCGGACAGTGGCCCGGCTGACTAGAGGTGCTGAGGTGGCCTGGACTACAATGACGTACTCATTGCGGGCCTCATAATCAAGATCAATGAGTGAAGTGAGCTCCCCTGAGAAGATGTCCATCTGAAAGATCTCGGGGATGTTGCCCTCCACAATTTGGTACATGATCTGAGCATTGGCACCCTCATCTGGGTCAGTGGCTGTTATCTGGGCTACCACAGATCCCACTGCGCTGTTTTCCTTCACTAGAACCTCAAAGTCATCAGCAGGAAAGACGGGAGCATTGTCGTTCACATCTAGGACTGTCACCTGGATATGGACGGGGGTTCGCTGAGGGGGCACGCCACGATCTACGGCATAGGCTGTGAGCTCATAGAATGGCACGCTCTCACGGTCCAAGCGACGAACTGTTCGGACGATGCCAGATGTAGGTTCAATAGTGAAGTCTCCATCCCCATCCTCACCATTTTGGAAGGTGTACTGAACGCGACCATTGGCGTGTGCATCACGGTCAGTGGCTGAGATTTGGAGGACGCTGGTGAAGGGAGGAGCGTCTTCGCTCACTGTACCCTGATATCTGGGGCTGAGGAACTGAGGCGCATTGTCGTTCACATCATTCACATTCACCTCAACATATGTAGTGTCTGATTTCTGTGGTATGCCGTTGTCTTTAGCTGTTATGGCCAAAGTGTAGGTCATCTGGTCCTCGTAGTCCAGCTCTGCCTGGAGTGTTATAGCCCCTGTTGAGGTGTCGATGCGGAATTGTGGGATATTGTCCTCGAGAAAGTATGTGATTCGAGCATTTTCACCAACATCATCATCTGTGGCACTGATCACAACTACAGTGCTTCCAGGTGGTCGGTCCTCATTCACACTGACAGAGTAATGGGCACTCTGGAATACAGGCCGATGTGTGTTGGCATCTGTGATGTTGATGTGCACCTGGCAAGTGTCATGGAGAGTGCGGTCTGAGGCAGTGACTGTTAGAACGTATCTTCGCTCCTGTTTGTAGTCCAATGGGAGGGCTAATGAGAGAAGTCCAGCCCCTCCTGCTGTGCTGATGGCAAAGCGGTTTCTGGTGTTTCCTCCTGTTATCTGATAGGTCACCGCACTGTTGACATCACGGTCCACAGCCGTGACAGTCACAACGCTAGTGCCAACTGCTGCATCCTCATTCAGACGAGAATAGTATTCCTTTTGGAGGAACTCAGGGCGGTTGTCGTTAACATCCATCACTGTAATTGTAACACTTGCTGTAGCAGAAAGAGGTGGCATACCATAATCCCTGGCCTCCACACCAAAGAAATAGTGCTCTACAGATTCTCGGTCAAGAATGGAGCTCACAGTGACCCAGCCTGTTGCAGAATTGATGACGAATGGCGTGTCCGAGCTGGTGCCAGTTAACCTGTACTCCAGACGGGCATTATCACCAGAATCTGTATCAATGGCCTGAATGTGGAGGATGGAACTACCAACTGGGGAACTCTCAAGCACTGACGCCTGGAATGGTGTGGAGACAAAGATCGGTGGGTTATCGTTAACATCTGTCACCTGCACACTGACAATACCGGTGTTGTTGGAGAGAGGTGGTCGGCCATTGTCCTGCGCACGAACACGGAGCGTATACTCCCGTTCTGCCTCATAGTCTAGTGGTGCAACGACCTGGATCTCCCCAGTGACACTGTCAATGGAAAACTGTCCACGGCTGTTACCACTGATGATATTATAGTGAACGGCAGCGTTACTGTCCTTGTCCCGGTCTGTGGCACTCACACGGAGGATCTCAGAGTGAGGCCGTACGTCCTCCTTCACTGCTACTACGTAGCGCTTTTCACTGAACTGTGGCACATTGTCATTTTCATCCAGAACAGTGATGAAAACTTTAACAGTGGCGGAGCGTGGCCCTGGTTCCTTCCCCTGGTCACTAGCCTCCACCTGGAGAGTGTAGTGCTCATTTGTTTCCCGGTCCACCGCTCCACGGGTTGTAATGAGGCCAGAGCGTGGGTCAATCTCAAAGGCCGCTCGTGCCATTGCAGCGGTGTCACCGACAAAGCGGTAACGGATATTGGCATTGGATGGGGAGTCCAAGTCTGTCGCTCTCAGCTGTAAGATGGGATACCCCTCCTCTACGTTCTCCCTGATCGTCTCCCTGTACTCTGTCTGCTCAAATATAGGAGAATGATCATTGCGGTCTGAAACAGTAATGGCCACCATTGTGGTGCCAGAGAGGCGAGAGGAGCCATGATCGGTCGCAGTGACCCGGAAGTAATGCAAATCCATGTGTTCTCTATCTAGAATCTGAGTGGTGGTGATGAGACCAGTGTCTGGGTGTATGTGGAAGTAGTCAGATGATCGACTGTTCATCAGCGGGGCTATTGAGTAGCTCACCCTGCCTGCATCTCCTGCATCTGGGTCTGAGGCAGACATGACAATGACTGAGGTGCCAGGTGGCTGGTTCTCTGCTACTTGCACTTGGAAGTTATACTGGGAGAAATGTGGATGTCTGTTGGCTGCACGTCGAGACCGAGGCCATGACATCAAAATCTTCCTCTCCCTTTCTCCCTGTGAGGTTTCATCATCTGCTACTATTATCAGTCTTTCCAGACTCCTCTCTCCCCTTGTACTGTGCCTCTCTCCTCCTCCTCCCTCTCATCCCCCTCTCCTGTCTCATGGCTTTTATCCGCCTGGCTCTCTTTCTTCCCTCTTTCGCTATCTGGCTGTGTGATGGTGGTGGTGCTACTGCCCCTATCCTGACCCTTCCCTCCCTCTGCCTCTCTCTCCTCTGCCTGGCTTGCCTTTGTTAGTGCCTTTTCTCTGTCCCACCCCCCCTCCTTTTGCTCTTTTCCCCCTGGTTTTCTGCCTCCCATCAACCGCACCTCTCTCTCTCCCGCCCCCACCTGTAATTTCCCTCCCCCAACAGCGGCAGCAACAGCAGCGGACCCCTCCAAGCCCTCTCCCTCCCTCTCTGCCTCCCTCTCCCTTTCTCCCTCGGCCCCCATCTGCCGCCTATCTAACTGTCTGACACCTTCGGGCGCTAATGGCACTTGCTTACCGGATTTTAATTGCATATGTGCACGGTCCCCTCGCTTGGTGGCTGTACAGTCGGGGGAAATGCTATCAACGCACCCTGCATGGATCATCTCTCGCAGTGCGCTTTCCCACAGGTCTGGCTCCTGTGTCTGATCATGCCAATCTATTTTAGATTCACGACTATATCCATTTGCTTCCTTGCTTTCCTCCTCTTCGTTGTTGTTATTACTGTTGGTGTTGAATTTGAGCCACACAAACACGCGCTGAGAGTCTAGGGGAGCTGCCCATCGTGCTGAAATCACGTCCTTCACGGCGGGTAAGTGAAGCGAGCGCGCAGAGTCACCCCGCCATGAAGTCAGGTTAATTTTCGAGAAAAACGTGAGGTGTTTTGCTGTGGTGTGATCTGGAGGCTGAGAGAGAAGACGTGATGAGAGAGCCGTTGCTGACACAACTCCGGGAGATGTAACGGGAAACTCAGCAGGCGAGAAAAAGCCTGAGTCACCGGCAGACTCTGTCTCTGAAGTTGCGTTTACTTTCTCAGCAGACAGACGAAGCGGTTTGGATAGTTTTCCACTTTTTGCATAATCGCCGGTTTGTGTTTGAGGGGGCGTAGTGAGCACCGGGCCAGGATATGTTGATGTGATTCGGGGAATTGCGCTTTTGCTGGATAGAAAACATTGGCCGGGCGTCTCTGTGATGCTGCTGGGGGTAAATTGGATGGGGAGATTCCTCTGAGTTATGTCTCCCTCCGGGACCATAAACTCAGCTAAATATCCATCCCCCACTTCTACACTGTCCAAACAACCAAAGCAACCACCGGGAACCTCCACACTTTCTCCCTGGGTTTGACTGCTCTGCCCTCTGGTTGCCGGTGCTGATTTCCCCTGCCGAGGCTCATTATCAGCCCTACATAGCAGCGTCAGAATAGGAAAAGCCAAATCATTATCCGGATAATTAGATGAATTAATGTGTTTGTTGCCTTGATTCATCCCTCCTCCTCTTCCATCTTTTCCCTCTCTCCTCTCATCTCTCTCCCTCCCATTATGTATAATTCTGGCGTGGTAATACCTGGCTTTCGCAGGACAGACAGGGGATCCACAACAATCTAGGTGCGCCCTGGTACTGGGGTTAATCACTGCTGGTACTCTACATGTGTACGCTTCCTTCTCTTCCTCCTCATCTCGCCCACTCGCTGAGCCCCTCTCCCCCTCCCTGCTCCCAGTCAAACAGCTATCATCACCCCCCTCTCTGATGCTGCTGGAATCGATAACATTGTGCCTGCCCAAATGAGGACAATTACCAGCCCTCCTGTCCATGCTGGCGAAGCCCCCATCAGCATCCAAAGCCCTGGTGGTGTTGCTGCTCCTGCAAACTGGATGCGGCTGAATCTTGGAATTACAAGTTGAAAAATGACAAATGTATTCAAATTTTGATCCCTGGATACAGTCCGGATTGTTGATGAAAAGGGAGTAAAATTTGAAGGTGTATTTTGAAACCTGTGGTGAATTGTATCCAGAAAGAGGATGAGTGCAACAAGAGCAACCGGTTGGCAGGGGGCCAGGTGAGGGGTTGTTGGCCGGAGAGACAGCTTGTTTGTCGGGGTTTGACCAGTAGAGATGCCCGGGTGTCAGGGAGCACCATGTAGCAAAGAGCATCCTCACCTCACGAGCCCTCTCCCACACCTCTCCCCCTCTTCTCTCTCCACTTCCGGGTGCCCTGCACAGGCCAGAGGCGTGCACAAAGGCTCTGGCGGCGCCACGTTTGGCGAGGTGTGGCCTTGACGCCGGCCACCGTTGCGCGCACACTCTAGTCCTTTGTACTGCCCGTTTTTTGCCGTTTTGAACCGGCGAGGAGGGGAAAGCAGGTGAAGCGGGAGGAGAAACAACGCCCTTCCTCCTCTTCCTCCCTCTCTCCACCCCCTCTCCCTCGCCGACGCCATCAGAGCTCGACCTGCTCCTAATACCTGGGTGGTGAGGAGGAGGAGGAGGAGGAGGTGATGGTGCCGGAGAGCCGTTTCCACTCCTCCAAAACGTCCCGACTCCTTTCAGTCTCTCCTTCCGCGTCCCCCTCGCCCCATCCTGGTGATATCCTCCCAGCGTCCCCCCTGCGCGCTGTACTCCAGAGCATCCCTCACCCTGTATCCGCTCTACGGTCCACCTGCTGGGGCGTAGATCCCAGCTGCCTCTCGGCGACTCCCCTGCTTCCTCGCACTGCTGCTGTTGCTGCTGGCTCACTTTACCGGCGTCTCGGTAGCAGAGGCCCGGGGTCCATCGGTTGGAAGCCCCTCCTGTATTCACCGTCCCCGGGGTGAGGGCGAACAAAGGGCCGAGGAGAAGCAGGTGGAGTGCCAGAGACGAGAGCAGGAGCGGGTTGAAGCCCGGTAGCGGTGCAGCCATTTAGTCTCTTCCTTTCTCTGTCTCTCCTCTCCTTTCTCCCTCTTCCACCTCTGCCTATTCTCTCTCTTTCTCTCTCGAGCGCGTCTTCCCCTCTCCCCGTTACTTCTATCTCTCCTTCGTTCCGGCTAGGTGGCCAGTTCCAGGACCGCCGGCACCGCCCGACACCTTCCCCCAGGCTCCCCCGTCTCTCCGTCGGCCTGGAGAGTTGGCATCTACCCGCTGTGGTCCGTGGAGCTGGAGGTCTGAGCGTTAGGAGCGGCGCGGCAGCAGCATCTCTCCTCCCGTTCATTCACATCCAACATGGCTTACACACTCACACCGACTGACTGGCTGGCTGGCTCACACACTACCCTTCTGAGTGAGTGTGTGTGTTTGTATGTGTGTGCGCGCTCTGCTAGCACAGCCCGGTAGTAGGCTATCCATCCATCCACACACCACACACACACACACACACACACACACACACACACACAGTCACATTCTCCTCCTCTCTCCTTTTTCTACCCCTCCCCCTATTGCTTGCATCTCCGCCGACTCTCTCTCTATCTCTCCCTCCCTCTCCCTCTCTCTCTCTCTCTCTCCTTTCCTCTCTCATAATGGTTGGCTCCGGTGCGCAGGGTTGTTACACAGCCCCCGCGGCGGCAGCCATATCCACAACTGGAATAGGAGGGGGGGATAGCCTGAAGATCTTACACAATCACACCGTCATCACCGTATCAACTGAAGAATTATCATCCTAACAAACAGCCCCGCCGGTCACCCTTTACTGGGGTTACACACAGACAAACCCAGCAATGTTGCTCAACTAAAAATGAGATTCTGACACTGATGAATTGCAGAAAATAAAGTCCTAGAAACTTTACCAAAAAGGGGGAAAGCAACATGAAGTGCAGTCTATCGTGACAAAGCACTTGAGTCTATGATATATATGATATTTATGATATCTTATTTCTTTTCATAAAAAAGCTCCAGTTTCGCAGAGTCATTTGTTTGATGGATGAATCGATTTTCTTATCATGTGATATCATCCTGATCAAGTTGCACTCAGTAGCTATATTTCAGTGCAGTGACGTAAGCTCTCAATCGTAAGGTTGGCTCTAGTAAAAGTGACGTCATCTCCCGTATTTTCACCGATGAGTAATGCACACACCACACACACACACACACACACACACACACACACACACAAGAAAATCCCAGAGAAATTTAAATTCAGTGACTTTGTTGTGAATAATTAATAATAATAACAGTTTCCCTATATAGTAATACGGATATAGTATATTTTATAGGCCGTTATAGTCCAACAGGGATTCATATATTTGCTGAAGTAGTAGCCAAATTTATTATGGGATTAGTGTAACTGATTTCAGTAAGGCACATGCGCGCAATCCAGCAATCATCCCAATTTAACACTAATTTGCGCATGGCTAAATGGGCAGATCCATTTCCTGATACTTGTGGGAAAAAAATCACATTATGCAAATATGTAGGCTACAAATTTCCTCCAACATTTACTCACCATCTCCCCATTCAATACCAATTTATAATGCCGGCTGGGTGGTGTATGGTTTTTGTAATGACACGGCTGGAATTGAATATGATTTCTTCCTGTGGCTGATGGGAGGAGATACACAAGGCGTGTCAGTCGGGGACGCCGCGCATCAGCGCCCAGAGAAGCTGAGGAGCAGCCAAATCTGAGCGCAGCGTGACCGAGCATGCGCGTGCATATGCGTGCGCGTCTCCACATCCCTCCTGTGTTTTTGCTTTCGATCTCTCTCTCTCTCTCTCTCTCTCTCTCTCTCCCGTGTGTGTCAGTGTTGTCTATGTTTTCTGTCTCACTTCAGTTCAGCTATCTCAGGTTTGGCTCAACTAAACCCAATCCTTCAAACTAGGACCAATTTGGGTAAGGCTAGGTCAAGTCAATCTTTTTTTGGTACCAAAAGTGTCTGACTGTAGCACCCAGTATCACTAACTGTCAAGTACAGAGAGCTGGCATCAAAATACTTGCTCTGATTGAGGTACATTTATTATTTATGAATTATTTAATCAGATAATTTATAATTTAAATCACAATTTTGACAATTTTAGACCATATTTAATCTGGGCAGTGTTCTTGCAGCAGCCTTTTCTTTAGACATTTAAGATTTGAGAACTTTAACATATATATTGTTTTATTTTTTACTGTTAGTGGTTGCATACTTTTTTTTTGCCAACTAAACTGAATTGTAACCAAATCTGCTTCACTTTCTAGCCAAAATGAATAAAAACTCAGTGTTGTGAATGTCAGTTCTTGCTGTAAATATGATATGTGTGTTCATGTATGTGTGTGTCCCAATCTGTTTGATCCCTCTGCCTCTGTTTTTTTTTTTTTCAGAGCTGGTACAAGCTTGGAGCACAGTCACAGCAATATGGTGCTCCAAAATGCATATCCTCCTTTTTCCAAATACGATTTGAATGCACAAAAGAAAACTGCTCTCCCTCCCATCCTCTTTCCCCTCTCTGGGTGTCAGCGGCCTCCCTCCAGCCTCGTGCTCCATCGCCAGGATTTGCTGCCGCTTTTCTATCGTTGCTCTGACGCCCTCACACGCCTCAGTCAGCCAGTGTGATTACTGTGGAATGTAGGTTATTGTGGCTCAGGCTGGCGCTGTTAACAGGATTTGGAATGGGTGCGTGTCGGGGGAGCATGAGGACGTCTAGACAAGTTGTGACTAGGCAGTGTGTGAAACAGTGTGACAGGTATTACTCCGTTTACCCATTCAGTAATGATAGTGTAGATGTAATGATACCCTTTTCAGCCAAGTAGGGGGATGCTTTCCTTTTCTTGGCCACCCATCACAGAGAGGTCTGAGGTCAAAGTGACATCTGGATCTGTCAGCTACTTGCACAAGGTCACTTCACTGGGGTATAGAACTTGATTTCCTCCAGTTGGATCTAGGTCTTTCTTCTCTGAAACTGAAATTGAAATAGTGTATTGTTACAATGCTCCTCACTGGGAAATTAACACTCCTTAGCCTATTACTGTTTCAATTTCAGTGATTGTAAAACAATTACCAGTAATTCAATCTTCTTATCATCCTCTCTAAGTGTGAGAGTGAAGTTCAGTTCGGCAAAACTGCAGTATACATAAAGTAGTTCATCGTGCTAGAACATGCATTGGTGATCAAAGTTGTTTGTTTTCTCCAGCATAGCAACTGAGGAATCCCACATTCTTCAGGCAAAAGTAAAGCAATGTAACAAGCACAATGACTAAACATCGCACACACAACAGACAAGAATATACAGGAGGCAGAGGGGATTACACAGCATATTTCACATCAAAAATATTCCCACTACACATTGCAGAATATGAAAATTACTTTAATCCTTGTATGCCCTTGAAAGTCTTTGAGATATTAATAGCCTTGGGTCTATCAGGGTGAGTAAAATCCAGACAGCAGTGAATCCACCAGGGGAAATTTTCTGGCATGAAAGTAATTCTGACTCCTATTCTGGAAGACGGATGGTAATTACCCCGAATGGGAACTCTAATAAAATGAGAATGTGAAAATTTGAAGAGTCTCTGTCCCTTCAGAAATTTGTTGAGATATAGATAGACCCCAAAGTACATTGAATCTCATTGTAGTTTTGAAGAACTTGGTTGATCTATTAGTAGAGACCCCAAGAGAAACTGATGGCAAAGCCTTTAAATCTTTGAAAATATACAGGAATGAGGCGAAATGCCTTCAGCACTCAATATATTTATTGGCATTTGGAAAGACTAGCTACAGATTACGTCACAGATCTTGAGACCTTGAAGAATCCCCAATGTACCCTTGAAAACTCTTGAATTATAAATAGCTCTGCCTGTCAAATCAAATAAAAATCTGACATAAATCGACAGGGGCAGATCCCTGCTTGTCTGTGTTGCTCTTATTAAGTAAACAAAATGATTCAGAATGTTTAATAGATAAACAAATAAATATTAGACTTTTTATTTTATTTCCTTTCCTTTTTTACTTACATTATAATGCCAGACCAATAGGATTTTACACTCAGGATGTAACTGTTTCATGTCCACCTTCATCTTTTATTCTGAGCAACTGGTCAGATTAATTAGGTTGAGTACAAAGTCTAATAGACAGAGTGTTGAGTGACGGCGAGGAGGGAGCGCTGTGCCACTTACAGCTATTTATAATGGATCAGAGAGGCTGGATGGACTATAAACACTAAACGAAAGTGACTGACAGACAGTTACTACAGCACCCTGTGGGGCTCTGACATCAGAGAGAGAGAGAGAGAGAGAGAGAGAGAGAGAGAGGATGATGGGAGAAGAGGAGGACAGACTGGGAAAAGAAGGTGAGTGATAAGTGATGAGGAGGGAGAAATGGGGGTGTTTTTCTGGCTGCAGGGAGGTTTTCTTCTGCTCACACTGACACCTTAGCACTTTTGTAAAGCACAGTTACAAAGGGCATTATAAATACACAGGAAATAAAACAATAGAGCACAACAAAAAATGTATAAGAAAGGGTTAATAGGGAAGATAATTAAGGAAGAAACATATTATTTCGCTGCTCACTGCAGACACAGCTCCAAACAAATGGTTGCTGAGAGCAAGCTGCAGAAGGAACATTCATTACTCACTATATTTGTTTTACTTATTATTAAAAAATGTCATAACCTTTGCATACTCAGCCCAGTTTGAGCCTGGAAATGTCACCAAGTGCTGTTTGGTAAAATTGTTGGATCACCTTTTTGCCAGAACTTCAACACCAGTGGCCACTCACACGCAGTTCAAACAGAGAAAATATGCAGAAGACTTTGAAGCTGCAATCTTAAAAGCTGGTAAAGAGATGACAGACAATAGCTAAAAAAGACAGATGAGGAAAGAGATGAAAGAGTGAGATGGAGGTAAAGAGAGGGGGGAAAAGAGAGAGAAAATTAGAATGAGAGGTGAGGCATGGAGGCTAACTGCAAATGTCCAAAACTAATGCTTTAATAACAAACGCTAATCTTAAATCTGTCAGAGCGCAACTCAGTTCATCGACAGCAACCTACAAACCACCTCATTCAGGTCTATGTAATTACATTAGGTAATTTAATCATCTAATTCCAAGCTATCAAACTTCCATTCACAGACTGAAACCATGACAGGTGTATATATGGATGATATTACCTCAGCCTTTGTCCTTTTTTCACTTTATACTTTATGAGGTATATATGTCAATAAGCATCTCTCTCTCTCTCTCTCTCTGTATATATATATATATATATATATATATAGTGGGGTTGTGGTGTATATATATAAATATATACACCACAACCTTTGATAAGTGAGGCAGGCTTTGAAGGTTAAAGCCTATTTCACAGCACCACTGCCCTCATAAAGTGAGAAGGACGAAGGTTCAGGTAATGTCGGCCAGTCCCCTGCAAAACAGCAAAACACACTCTGAACACTTTGAACACAAAAATTCACCCTCAATGTTACCAGCTTATAATGTTAGAAATCCATTTTTTTAGGATGACTTTAAGGAATTTGTGAATGTATGTCTCTTTCCTATAGGAAAATATACCCATTGAAAGATTGTAAAATGTTTGTAGCTCTGACTGGATAAGTGAAGAGAGTGATTGTTTTTTGAAAGGGATGTATTCTTTGCTTTTTATTTCATTTCTGCTCTATTGTATGAAAAGTGCTCCATCTGCCATTTCTGCAAATAACAACCTGTGGGATTTTTACATGTCAGTGCAAAGTGGTGGCACGGACTCTAAAACCTGATGTTCAAACTGATCTTTCAGGTAGCTGAAAAATCATCACTGCCATCAACTTCCATTGTAGCCGCCACTGGAAATACCCCAATCAGATTGTCATCTATTTTGACTAAACAGCCATCTAAAAATGCACCATTAAACGATGCAAGGTACATTGTGTGTACCTCCTTTTTAATGGAAAATGAAATGATATGGGACCAGCTGGTTCATTCAGGACCACGGACAGCTACCTGTTGCAAAGACTTTACAACTGTGGGTTTTGCAAAGTGAAAAGTAGAATGATGGTGTCTGAACTTTTATAACCCTCACTTGACTTTGTCTTCCCTTTAAATGAGAGTCAGTATATACACAGTATCTGTTCAGAAATGTGAAAAACACACCCGCTTATGGCAGGATGTCTCGGTATATTGGCAGCACCTAAAAAACGATCCCTCTGACACAATTAATTTCATGATTCGGTGTGCAGCCTCTAATACCACTTGCCGTGGAGTCAGAAATGAGAAGACCTAATTCAAATGAGAAAATCTTATTCCCTGTTTAGCTGAGGTAATGTGGGTCAGGAACAGCTGGATCCTGCTGCTGATCCACTCTGCTGCCGTCTGCTCTGCAATCCATTAATAGCAGCGTTTATGCACACATGAACATAATATCTAATATTGTTAAACAGGCAAACGCAAAAAACAAACCTGCATTCATGCAGCTTCGTTTTTTGACAAGCCTGAAATGACCAGATGTTTTGCTAACTTCTATGGCCTGCTGACTGCATCTGAAATAAAAGCTTCTGATGGAAACTATGACATGGTTAATGAAGCAAATCAACTGTATTAACACTGGTGTGAGTTTCTTGGTTCTTATGTTGATGAAATTGATGAGTTTTGTTGACTATATGAAAGCTGATGTTCCAGATGTTCCGGTGAGTGGCATGTTGTAACATTGACAATAGATCAGAGGAGGTGGAGAACAGGATTTCATCTGCATTTTAAAAAATTGCTCATGCTGGGGCAACACTACAACATTTATGCAATTTCCTGCATGTCACGCACAATATCTGAAATGCTGTGAATTGGATTTGCACGAGCCCTCTGGGAATAATTCATTCCATTGCTCTGCTGTGAAATTTTATTTCATGGGAAGAACATTATAATGTTTGTTTGCATGTTGGATTTTGTGAGAATGATCTCACCACTGTGTTCTTACATTTCCCAAACTGCAAACATCAGCCCATTGAAGGCTTTGATTTCTTTCTCATTCATGTGTCAGCCGTAAAAGCTGACAACCCCATGCTTGAACTACAGTTTATAAATAAAGTGATACATCTGTTGCTAGTGGGATTTTACCATTTATTAGGGATGACACTGTTGCTATGATGATTTCTAAAGGCTGCAGTGTGCATATTTAGTGATGAGTGTTAACTGGGAACTATTTCAGAGGATTTCAGTCAGGAAAGCAGCGCTGTGCATGTGTGTCTGTGTGTGTGTGCACGCTTGGCCAGTCTGCTGCCCTCCGTGTGCTGAAGGATCAATAACCGGCTGACTCCTCGCGGGAAGTCTCCATGCTGCTTCGAGCCTCCAGGCAGGGGCCCGCGTGCTTTCTGTCGGTGTGGGTTTCCATGGGAACAGTCGGCGATAGTGTGTTTGCATGTGTGTGTGTACAAGGTTGAGGGGGTACACTGAGACTGGTGGATTACTGCTGCTGCTGCTGCTGCTGTGTGTGTTTGTGTGTATGTGTGTGAGAGAGAAAGAAAGAAAAGCACAGAGGTTGAGGGAGACAAAAAAAAGGGAGGCTAAAAAGAGAGGGAACGTACAGGGAACGTACAGAATACACAAAAACAGAGAGGGTCTTTATAGATAAGGTCGTCTTGTGTCCTCATTGCTTTTCCCCTCTCGTATAACACTCCCCCCAATTGCCTGCTGCCCTCGGCCTTTTGCCTCTCTGTTGATCCATCCCACAGGGGGTGGGTATGGAGGGGAGTGTGAATGCAGAGGGGCAGGCCACAGTCTGTCTATAACCCGGCATCCCCCTCTCAACAACCCTCCCCCCTTAAAAAACCCAGGGAGATCCTGAGCGGCAGGCCAGCAGGTGGCCATTGGCCTGCTGCTTATCTGTCCGTTTTGGAAGTGATGCAGTATAGTGATGCATATTCAACACAGGGCGAGGGTGACGGAGGTTGGACAGTGTGTGTGTGTGTGTGTGTGTGTGTGTGTGTGTGTGTGTGTGGAGAGAGAGAGAGAGAGAGAGAGAGAGAGAGAGAGACATACTGCCACTCAGACAGGCAGTCAATAACAGAAGAGCCACTTGCAGGCCCCCCTCTCTCCACACACACACACGCACACACAGACACACGCACGCAGTGGAGGATGGCATACGGCGGCAGCTGCCCGGCACGTGTCGTGATTGTGTGAATTAGAAGCAGCGTGGTACGCGCATGACTAATGAGCCTCGCCTCTCCGCGGGGACGCGCCTCACATGATGAAAAGATGAAAGAATTATGGCAAGGAAAGAGGTGAAAACGTCCTGTAGAGCCGCTTCTCCTCCTATGATCCATAACTGTTGATTTAACAGCTGGCTACTGCTCATTTCATCATTAAACTCTCCATCCTCTGCTCCTCTTCTCTCACTCCCTGTCTTGTTCATATTCAATTTAAATTTGCTCACTTTTTCATTCCTACTCAGTATAAAGTGGTTCCAGGCGTCTGCCCTGCAAGAGGAGATTAGGTTGAAAAAGTCAGTGTCATTACATCAGGGAATGGTTCTGAACCCTTTTACCTTTTCAAACAAATGCACAAAAATAATCATTTAAAAAGTATGGGGAAGTTCATTTTGAAAATAACTACTGTGAATTCATTCCTGACCTTGGTAAAAGTTGGACAAAATGGAGTTTGCTCAGTGTGCTCCCTACAGTATATTGTGTCTCTTCCTCACTCAGTGTTAGATTAATAGTAATATAATGCCATTACACAGAGGATTGCAGTATGATTAATGCCCATGAGGTTGTTTTGGCATGAGAAAACCTTGATATGTGGTCTTGGGTTCAACAGGTTTAAGTTGCAAGAACTGCTGTTGCTAGGTGACCGATGAAAACGGAAGTCCTTGTTTCCTTTTCAAAAATGGTTAATAACTGCGCTTCCTACATTTCATTGTCAAGGACATGGTACAAAACAAGAGTAATTACTCGAAATTAAAAAAGCACAAAAAGGTACAGTAACATTTGCATACTCACCACACCAGCATCAATGGGTTATTCAAACAAATGGGCGGCAAGTACGCTGAACAAAACCCACTTGAAAGCACCACAAGTGATAGCTAGAGAGCTTTTGCTTTCCCCCATTGTTCCCTTATTTCAGCTCTGGAGGAACTTATCCCTGTGAGTGTAGAGTAATATCAGTTTCAGCTAATATGTATCTGTGTAAAAGTTGTAGGGTGCTTTTTGTAACTTATGGTTATGGCATTGTCAACCAAGATAGCACATCTACCATTTCTGTTAGCATCCATTTTAAAATTCTTTTATTTGTTTTTAAATCCCTGAATGGTCTTGCCCTGCCCTACCTCTCTGAGCTTCTACACCCCTATATACCCGTCCGCCCCCTCAGGTCAGATGATCAGCTGCTCCTGAGTGTCCCTAAAACTAAGTGGAAGCTCAGAGGGGACCGTGCCTTTCCTGTGTCTGCTCCTAAATTGTGGAATGATCTGCCTCTGCACATTAAACAGGCCTCTTCTCTGTCTGCTTTTAAAACCTGTCTTAAAACCCATCTCTTCTCTGTGGCATTTGACACCTAGTAAGATGTTGACTTTATTTATTTGATTTATTTTTTGTATTTGTTATTTTTACTTTTTGATAACAAATAAAGTTAGATTAGATTGGATAGCATTCCCGCTAATCGCTAGCTAACGCCGTCTGCTAGCAACCTAGCCTGACTCCTATGCTAACTAATGTTATCAAGTTATCGATAGAGTTTGTGTTGTGAAAAGGCTGTTTGTTGTAGTTCATGAGCAGTCTGCGGCTACAGTAACTTTTAATGCTCTCTATATATTTTTATTAGCCACAACTTCACAGTGCTTTTTACAGTAAACATCCGAGTTATGGCAGGAACTGTCTAAGTATCTTCTTAGCTAACAAGCAACACAACATAAAGGCTGAAACAGACTGAATACAAAGACAGACTTACTGTTGCATTTGTTTGCTCCGTTATTCGAAATTTAGACATTTGACATGAAAAATCTGCATACATTTGTATTTTTTAACTTATAATATTGCATAGGGCTGATCCAGGCGGTGTTTGACATATTTGTAGCATTTATTTGAAGGCTGGGCAGAGATATCCAGGTGATAAACACATCTATATGGCTTGTGTAGGTTTGTGGTTGGTTAAGTGTGCACTGTGCAGAGGTATTTGTAATGTAATGTAAATAAATGCAAATATAATACGAATAAAATATTGGATAGTTATCTATAGAGTCAGCTTTGGCACCCAAGGCAGACAGGACAAAGGTGGTCCGGTCCAACAAACCCAAAGCCAGCTGTTCTAGCCCACAAGCTAAAACAAGTTGCATGGATGTTACCTGTTTAGTGCAAAAGGCTGGACCACCAAAGTACATGAAGAGCGATAACAAGCCAAAGACAGACAGCTGTTTCTCTCCAGAGCTGGTGGAACAAGCCAAAGATAAACATAGTGGACTTGTATTTTAACAGGGGGTGAGGCTGAGGACTCCAGTGCGTTGTCCCTGTTGCTTTGTGTCTGCTGGATTTGTAAGTAATGTTATCCATTGGAACTTGATAAACTACACCCAAGCTTGTTGTAAGATTGTTTTGAGTTCTTCTTTCTGCCTTCCTCTCATCAAAATTAATTTTATGCAGGTTATATTTGTGCTGCAGCTTCTCATCTTCCACTCTTGTTTGTGTGTTGGGCCTCCTCATATTGCTCTCTGTGTAGGCTTAGGCGAGTGTACCAGCTAATAACACACCTCAAAATTAACAATATGACGAAAGCAGAGATGATTACAAATGTTAATAGTCTTCTCCCCCTCCCACCACCGGTCTGTTTCTGTATTGTCTCTCCATTTGAGCCCTTTTCTTCTTCTCCCTTCACCTTCTGTCTGTGGTCTGTCAGATCTTTTCATCAACCCCCTACTCTCTTTTTTTTCATACATGCTTTCTTTGTTCCTCCTGTTCTGTCTCTCTCTCTCTCACTCCCTCTTTATTACCTCTGGCGTCCAATTGGCCGGCATTGTAGACGTTACAACCAAAAATGATGTCATTAATTATTTGGGTAGAGATTATGTGATTAAGCTAGCCTGGGTGAGTGTGTATGCATGTATTTGTGATTGTGTGTTGTATCTGGTGGCCACATTATTAGATTCAGATGAGAGTGGAGAGCCTGCATGCATGGGCAATTTGTTCGTTAAATTGTTGACCTACTGCTTTTCTGCTGATGCAAAGCAAACAAATACAAGAGTGGCAAACAATCAGGCAAACAAATAAGGTCCCCTCCAAATGTCTCCTGCTGCAAAAGAAGACAAAAAAGTGAAATAAATGGCACTGACATCCAAAGATCAAACAACCCCAGCTGAGATCTTTGGGATGAGGGAAGAGCAGGATGTTGAATCACACACCCAAACAGACGCTCATGCTGTATTCAGGTCACAGAGTTTTGTTTATGAAAAGGCTGATGAAGGAGGAGCAGCAGTAGAGAAAGTAAGAGATGGGGACAGCAGAGAGGTGAAATATTAAAAAAAGAGATAAAGAAAATGAG